TCGCCAATTTTGACATGTAGGTCATGCTTCTTGCTGGAACGGATACATCGGCCACGACTTTAGAATGGGCAATGTCGAGTTTATTAAACAATCCTCATGTGTTGGAAAAGGCAAAGAAAGAAATAGACACACATATAGGGCAAGAGAGATTAATAGATGAGCCAGACATCTCAAAACTACCATACCTGCAAAGCATTATCTTTGAAACATTTCGATTGCATCCTGCAGCTCCAATGTTGGTTCCACACGAGGCTTCAGATGATTGCACCATTGCAGGATATAATGTTCCACGTGGCACTATGGTATTAATCAATGCTTGGGCAATCCATAGAGATCCCCAAGTGTGGAGTGCTCCTACAAGTTTTGAGCCAGAGAGGTTTGAGAAGGAAGGAGAAGCAAACAAGCTAATTACATTTGGGTTGGGAAGACGAGCATGTCCTGGAGCAGGTTTAGCTCAACGAACAGTGGGATTAACTTTGGGATTGTTGATTCAATGCTTTGAATGGAAACGAGTAAGCGAGGAAGAAATTGATATGACAGAAGGAGCAGGAGCCACCATGCCAAAAATTATTCCATTAGAGGTCATGTGTAGAGCACGCCATCCAATAATTGATACACTTCTTTCTTAAAACGTTATAGAGGATAGCTATTTAAAGGTCCCTTGCCCGGTTGTCATTGTCCTCAGAGGCAATGGATTGATTAGTTCTTAATACTCATTGGCCCTCAAAAAAGCATGAGGACAGGATTCTCTAATAAATTGTAACCGTGTATATCATCTTCCTTGATCGCGGCAATAATGAGGATCTCCTTTGATTTGTTTAAGCTATGGTAAGTGTTTCAAGTAGTCAACCCGCTGGTTCTCACCTTATCTTCTTTGCTTTTGTTATTGTTTCTATCGACTGAGATTTCAAGTTATTAGATATAAGATAGAGATGAAGAAAAGTACCATTTTTCACGTTTGTTTAAAGTAGAAGTAAAAAATATGAAGTACTTATTACGTTTTTTCTTTTTATGTCAAACCAAAACAAAAATAAAAAGTCAGTCAAAACAGAGATAAAAAGACTGTGTCATAGTAGTAGTGGACTTTGCTGTCCTATTTGATACGAAACATTAAAATGAGAGATAAAGACTAGAATTGTAATTGAAAAAAGTCACTAAAAAAGTCTTTAACATGAACAATTACTTGTTACATGGATTAGGCAAACCCATGAAGGTAGAATTAGAAAATATCACTTTCCTCCATGATATTCCTCAATCCCACATATATGGGTTTCTTTAATCTCATATAATAAGCAATCTCTCATACCTAATACTCTTTTAATAGATTTTTTTCAATCCCAATTCCAATTTTTCATTTTCAATGCTTCATACCAAACTATGCCTGAGTGTTTGGGACCTCTTCAAATAATTACTTTATGTTCTACGAGACAAAGTTTCTATCTTATAGCACAAGAATACTTTTTGTTATTAGGTTAATCCAAACTGACACTCAATAGCAAATTCATCCAAATCTAAAAATTGATTCCATCAAACTCTTGTATAAATAGTAAAGTCCAAGTCCTTTAACTAGTTTTTCTTTCGCCAACTGATATGCAGCAACATTAGCAAACGAGAAAATTGCGTCTCGTTTAATCTTGTTCGTTGGCTTCAGAACATTTGTTTTCAATAGAAAAGGGATTTAGGGAGCATTTCTTTCTTAAAAATGCTCCCATTGGTACTCATTATGCTTGATCTTTCTTTTTTTAATACTTATGTTTGAATTTTCAAATGGTCATTTTTTGTACTGAAAAAAATTAAAAGTGAGTTTTGAAAATAGCAAAAGTGTAACGCAAAAATCAAATGGGTAATGAAAAAGATAAAGGTTGATTACTAGAGAATTTTAAAAAGAAAAATCTCTGAAAAAGACCCTTAAATAACCCAAATTCTTATTTGGTTATTGAACTTATCAAACTCCTAATTAGGTCACATGACCCGAAAAAGGATTTTAAAATTTTATGAAATGACTCTAATGTTCTTTCATTAGAAACCTAAGGAAATGAGAATTTTCTATCATTTTTAAATTGGTAATTTAAAATTCAAACGTATTGACTATGTAATTGAACTTGTTAATTTTTAAAGTTGTATTGTGATCATTTTTATTTAAAAATTTATTGAAAGTGTATATTGAAGACAAAAATTATTAATTTAGAATTAAAATATGTTAATAGTGAAATGTAACATGTTACTTTTTAAGGTTATATTATGATTAAGTTTTATTCAAAAGCTTACTACAAGTGTTATGGGGACATAAAACTGTTAATTTCGAACTGAAACTTGTTAACTACGTAATTAAACTTATGAATTTTTTAAGATTGTATTGTGATCAAGTTTTATTCAAAGACTTGTTACAAGTGTGTTATAAAGACAGAAAGTTATTAATTTACAATTAAAATGTGTTAACTGTAAAATTGAACATGTTAATTTAGAATTTTCTTTTGATTTCTAATGAAATAGACATTATAGTCGTTTTATAAAATTTTAAAATTTCTCTTTAGGTCATATGACTTGATTAGGTATTTAACAAATTTAATTACCCAAATAAGAATTTGGATTATTTAAGTGTCTTTTTAAGAAATTTTTTCATTTTAAAAATATTATTAATTATTAAAAAATTAAGATATTAAATATGAAGGAAATTAAAAAGGGCCTTGGTCTATCTTTGAAACTTAAAAGCTCTAAAATTCAAGGTCTTTATATGAAATTCAAATATCATTTCCCCTGGTACATATCCAGTCTTGCCCGCCCCTCGCAATTTAGAGAACAAAGTGGCAACAATATATGTAAGCGAGATAGACTAATGGGAAGATGACGGAAACATGATTTGGATTGATTTAGAGAAAACAGAAGAAGGCTGGGGATGCAAAGCAATTCAAAGTCCCGGTACGTCTTGAGTTTTGAAAGATGATTGATTTACTTTTCTTTTCCTAATAAAATATTGCAATTATATTTATTAGGCGAAGAAGCAAACTGACATATTGCAACAAAATTTAGTTCGGCGATGTCTTTTGTCATTTTCCCAGCTTTTCATTCTTTTCCACAGCCTTTTTTAAAGATATTATATCACACAGCCAAAAATTTCAATATGCACCAGTGCACCTTTTGTTTTTTGTTTTATTTTAAACCGCAAGAGCAAAATTATATAACTGGCATATAAAGTTATTTTCAAAGGTCAATTAGTGCCTAGTTTGAACCACGATGACGATTTCTTATTTATGAGGTAGCTGGAGAAGATAATGGTGATGGTAAGGAGTTTGAAGATGGGGAGCTGATGATCAAAACAGAAATTTCAATAAAGTTCATTATAGAATTAGTGAACATGACCAATCTCAAACACTTAAAAGACAATGTCAACAGAAGTTTTCAAATACTTTGATTACTATCATCTCTGTCATTTTCAAAGTCCTTACCATCACCCTTCGCTGCCATAGAATTATTAATATTTGACTTATTTTTGTTTATATTTGATAGTTTCAAACCACCAAATATGAAAGAATTACTTGACAGTTCTTTGTTAATAACTATTAAATAAGATCATCTTATTTGAAAATGAAAAATAAAGCGGCTTCATTTTTTATTATATACAGTTATTTTGTATTATTTTGGTTTTTATTTACGAGACAATATAATCATTGATAATAATAAGCGAATATAATATTAAATAAAAAATTATATTTATGGAATTCAAAATCCAACAAATTATAGATAAACATCATACATTTAATAAAAAATTAATCACTTGAACACTCTATGCAAAGGAACATTGTCTCTCTTTAGAATTCTAAAAGAAAATTCCACAATAATGTAGAAGAACATTGCCACAGTCCATGGATCATGTATTAGTACTTTCAGTCACTTCGATCATAAAGGCAGAATCATCTCAGATACCTTCATAATAGTACACTATTTTATTTGATTCATCTCAGTATTTTAGATTAGTAAATCTGAAGTAGTGATTTTCTTCTCCAGCTACCTGATAAATAAGAAATGGTTATCATGATTCAAATTAGACACTAATATTTCTGACCAAAAAAAAATTAGACACTAATATTTGACCTTTGAAAATAACTTTGCATTCTAGTTACATAATTTTATTTGTTCTCTCGATTAAAACAACAAAAACAAAAACAAAAGCTGCATTGGTGCTAGTGCACATCGAAATTTTTTAACCATGTGGTCTTTGTCCCTTAAAATCTTGTCCTGTCCTTAAAATCTCATAATATCTTCACAAAAGTCACGGAAAAGGATGAAAAGTTGGATAAAAGGACAAAGGATAAATAAATTTTGCCACCATGTCAGAGTTTGCTTCTCCTTATTATAGTTTCGTCATACCTTGGATGTTGTGTTAAAACACAAACAAAAACTATGCCAAACTTTGTTATCCTCTCAGATCTTTAATGTGTATCATATTGGGAAACAAAAGTAAATCAACAATCCAGCTTCTAACAATCTAAGGTTATAAGTAAAATCGGACCGCCACCTGCTATCTGTAGAAGAGCATTCATTCTCTTCCTATCTCCGTCTCAAGACAAAGAAAGACTAGCATACAGAGACGTAGGTTACGAGAGGGTTGGGGATGTTTGGTTTCTCCCAAAAATACTCTTTACAAACACTTTCGGTCAAAATAAAATTTCTTTTACGTATTTCATACACTATAAAATTATTTTAAAACTATGATTTTGTTTTCGTCCAAACACTTTTTAGAGCAAAAACATCAAGAAGGAGGTGAGGAAGAATAAGAGGCTTTGAATGGATCAGGTAAGACATCCGATCGCGTTCCTTTATTCTAACGAGATTAAAATGCACTATGAATTGCAAAAAACGCAACATTAAGATGCATTTTTTACAATTATAAGCCAATATATCACTCATTAATCTCTTTTTTCAACAAGTCCATGATGAAATCTAAAATCCAGGGTAATTTCATAGCAGAAATTCAAATGCAAGAACCGACAAAGCAACGTATCCATACAAAGCATGCAAAACTAAAAACTAGAAGGGAATTGTTGGTATACATGTAGATGTCCCCATTCACTTATTGCAATAAATTATATCAACTACTAAAAATGCACTTTTTATAGCATGAAACTCCCACCCACACACAACCCCACGCCTATGGATGCAATTCCTTAACATAGCTATCATCTACAGCATTTTAAGAAAAAAGCCCATCAATGATTGGATGGCGTGCTCTACACATGGCTTCTAGAGGAATAATTTTTGGCATGGTGATCCCTCCCCTTCTCTCATATCAATTTTTTCCTTACTTGCTCGTTTCCAATCAAAGCATTGAATTAACAATCCCAAAGTTAATCCTACAGTTCGTTGAGCCAATCCTGAGCCAGGACATGCTCGTCTTCCTAACCCAAATGGAATCAGCTTGTTTGCTTCTCCTTCTTTCTCAAACCTCTCTGGCTTAAAACATGTAGGATCACTCCACACTTGGGGATCTCTATGAATTGCCCAGGCATTGATTAATACCATAGTGCCTCGTGGAACATTATATCCTGCAATAGTGCAATCATCTGAAGCCTCATGTGGAACCAACAATGGTGCAGCTGGATGCAGTCGAAGTGTTTCAGAGACAATCCTTTGCAGGTATGGTAGTTTCGAGATGTCCGGCTCATCTATTAATCGTTCTTGCCCTATATATGTGTCTATTTCTTTCTTTGCTTTTTCTAACACATGAGGATTGTTCAATAAACTAGACATTGCCCACTCTAAAGTCACAGCTGATGTATCCGTTCCAGCAAGAAGCATAACCTACATAACAAAATTAAAAAAAAAAAAAATCATCATTACAACTAGACTAAATTTAATGAATGCTCACACAAAATCAAGATTTTGCAAATCTGCTACAATGGTGGGGTCTGCACTTCAAAAATCCAGTGAAACGCTGAATTAAATAATCCCGTTTCTTCATGTACTTAATCCTATCATAACCAATTTTTTTTTAAAAAAAAGAATTTATTGCGGCATTAAGATAGATCCTGTAATTTTTATTTCCTTTTTACGGTCCTGCTTACAAGTTATTGCAGCATTATTCTCAAATTCTTCCCTCCTTGACTATACTTCCAGTAGTAGCCATGGTTTAACTATTCCGAGCAAATCTCAAAGAAAAGAAACTAAAAGATATCCCCAAAACAAAAAGGACGAAACAGGTACGGTTTTACTTACCAAAATGAGGCCCTTAATAATTTGATCCGTGTAGTACTCAGGCTGCGATTCTTGGAGGCTCAAGAGATGATCGATCATAGTATTTGCTCTCTGATTTGCATTTCGATGCTCATCAATGAGTCCTTGCAAGAACCCATCGATTCTCTTGGCGAAACTCTTGAGCCTGCTCTCCAAGTGAGCAAAATCAAACCACCTCAATATGGGCAAGAAATCAGCAGGGTTATTTGCCCCTCCTAGTGGCACCAACTCCTTTATCATTTGTCGAAATTTTCTTGCCTTTTCCACATCCTCTACCTCACAGTCGTCTCC